CCAATTAGTAGCTAGTTCTCGTATCTTGCTCATATCAAACTTGGCATCTGAAAATGCAAGTGCAAATTGCATTGAGACTTCATTTGTTGAACTGGCTGGCCAGAAAAACAATTGTGCTTGCCTCTGAGTAGCTATTCTCTTCAAACAAGATTTCAAGTGTCTTGCAAACTAAGTTGTGCTCTTGGTCTCCGTTATTGCGAGCTTTGCCTTACAATGAATACACTCTCCATTTGTAGAACCATCCAGTAGAACTACCTCTTTAATTCATTCCAAATCGTTGATGTCTTTGGTCTCTTTTTTTCTCTAAAAAGGATTAACTTGCTCCTCTTTATTACCAGGGCCAGGAGCATCAATATCAGCATCAGTTATGGTACAAGAAATAGGTGTGTTTGTCAGTACCAAGTATCAAATATATCAACTACTGGAAGCTTTCCTAAAGTGGATGGGTGTGTTCGATTGGGGGTGGATGACGGCTCCATGTGAATTAAGAAATCCCTTTGCAAAAATAATATAAACTATGGTATTAATGATCTCACATAGACATTTATATATAGAGATATAATAAGAAAAAGCAAGCCAAATCATATTCACTAAGTCGATTGCATCTTAAAACATGTATAGCACTCATAATAATAGAAACAAAACTTTATCTGCACTAGAATCAATTAATACTATGGTATTAATGATCTCACATGAATTTGGGCAAATTCACTAAGTCGTGGGATGATCGATCTTAATATATCTACTCATAAGTATATTTTGCAACCACCTAAATATTTTTTTATGCTTGCAATGTTCATCTTCAGTGTTGTATATTGTACTGCTTCAGATATATTAAATAATATTTTCATGTATGTATTATGTTGCTCGATATTGTAATCTTGTCTTCATAGATCTATAATTAGACAAACTTCTTCATGTATACATAATACATTTAATAGGTTGGCTATGGTAGTGGATCCAAGTTGTGCATAAATATATATGATGCTTGAAGTCTCAGATATAGAATTGGACCATGGAATCTGCACTAATCATTTTCATGTTCAGATCTTAAAACATGTTTAGCACTCTTAATAATAGAAACAAAACTTGATCTGCACTAGAATCGATTACAGCAAACAAAATATCACAAATAGAGCAAGTAATTAAGAAACGGTAGCTGACCTAAGTTTGTGGTGTCAAGATTCAAGAACCCAAGCTTAATGAAGGGTGGATGACGGTAGGCGTGAGAATCTGTGTTTGCAACAGCTTCTTTGTCAGATTCAAACTTGCAGCAACTCCGATTGAAGGGTAAATGAAGGTTGGTTGTTAGATGGTGGTAGCTGGGTGAAGTTGGATGAAGGTTGGACAACGATGGTGTCTCATATTTGTGGTGTGAAGAAGTGAAGATGATGGTAGAGGAGGTGAAATCAACGAAAATGTCTATATTTTAGCTTTTAGGGAATTTGCGGCTGAGTGAAGTTGTGGTAGGTTTTAGGGAAAATCTGATATACGCAAACTTAATCGATCGAATGAGTAGACGATCTCCACTTACTCGAATGATGTTGCGAGCAACTCGAAGATCTCCACTTACTCGAATGATGTTGCGAGCAACTCGAAGATCTCAAGCTATTCAAGTCAAGCCCAGAAAAGCTCGACACCTTTCTCGAGCTTGAAGACGAGCGGGAACTCGTGAACAACTCGCCTCATCGCAAACCGATCCTAAGCTCGTGACCAATCGAGCCCGAGTAGCTCACGAGCTACTCAGTTTGACTACAGCCCTAATTCAAAGTCATTTTGCAGGGTTAATATAATTATTACAAGAGTAAAATACTTTTTCCCACCCAAGGTCTTCCCTAATGACATTTCACACCCAAAAAGTTTCAATATATCACTTTCCCACCCAACATTTATATTCTACTAATACCCAAAATACACTTCACTTTCTCAGCGGCATTCGATGAGCTACCAGGAGCCAAGGTAGAGGGTTTTTGTAGAGTGAAGGTCGGTGGATCGAACGGTGGTGATTGATTGAATATTCGCCGTTGGAATCAACTAAAAATTAGTTAAGAACAAGAAACCCTAGCTTTTGGTGGCTGGCAATCGGTGAGAAATCAGGTATCGGAGTGAGAGGGGTTTTGTATAGAAGAGACCGGAGGTTCAAATGGTGGTGACAGAGAGAATTTTTGACATTGAAATTAGCCGAAATCAATTTTGGATAGTAACAGAATATTAACTTTATGTGGGAAAGTGGTATTTTGAAACTTGTTGGGTGGAAAAATGTCATTAGGTGGGAAAAAGTCGTTTACTCTTATAACAACCACCCTAAGGTTTTGGAAAGTGATTTTAGATGGTGACTTTAAAGGTATTCTACAATAGAGAGTAAATGGCATGTTCCCACTCGAGGTTTAGCGAAAGCCCAAGTTGAATCCCTAGTTATTATTCTGGATTTCACTCTTAAATTAACAAAAAATTGTTTAATATAACGGTCAAAGGGTAAAAAGGTTATTTGCACTGCATTAAATATGAAATAGAAATAAAAATTTCAAATAACCCACCACAACTAAAATTCCTCTCAAAAGCACCCTCTCTCCAAAAATCAGCCTGTTTTTGGTCGGAATTGCCGACGTCGTCGTCGGAATCAGGAGAAAACTGGCCAAAATCAACTCCTTTTTGAAAATCCAACATTTCCCACGTCGAATTAGCCTTAGATGCCACCGTTTTCGTCGTCACCAACCAATTTTTCGCAAGCCGCCTCCCGTCTTTCTAAGTCAGATTTCGCTTGAATCCGAAGGCCAAATCAAATCTTCCACCACTTTATTAATCGTCGGCCTCTACTTTACAAAACCCCTCAAACCCCGTCACTTGGTTTCCCTCCGATCATCGGCTATGAACGTTGCCTTCTTGCCATTGGGTTTTTGCGATTTGCTCGTTTTAGAACTTTTTGGAGGCTGATTTTTTTGTAGTTTTGTGTTGGTTGTTGCTATTGGGGTGTTGTGTTGTGTTTTTTGGGCTGATTGTGGTTGTTCTTCTAGGTTTCCATCATCCCCCAACCATTCCCAACTCTCCTTCTCTCAGAGGCACGCCAGGTGCTCAAGGAAAAGACCTTCTCAGCGTGCGCTATCACACAATTTGCAACAACCACCCTCCCATCGGCAGGTAATCACAGCTTGGGGTGGTAGGGGTTTTAGAAAGGGGATGCTAGTGGATCAAAATGTGAGGTCCATATAGGTTTTTGTCATCGCAATTGGTCAAAAATCAGCAAGAAACGCGCGATTCCACAACCAGTGGCACCAGCAATTTGGTAGTGTAGAGGGGTGGAAATGATAGAGATTTTGATAAGGGAGGTACGAGGATGTGTTTGGTGGTGTCTAGGTGTTCCAACAACGTTGGAATTAGGCCAATTTGGCTTGAAAACGACAATCGTGAGGTGGAAGAGGAAGATTGAAAAAGAGAGTGTTATTGAAATAAATTTTAAAGTAAGATGGTTATTTTAATTCTATAATTTAGGGGTTAAAAAATAATTTATTAATTTATTTGTTAAGGGTAATATGGTAATAGTATCATTTGCATCTTAAAAATTGCTAATGTTGTTGGTTTAAGGGTCGTAATCTGGAATAAATGCAACTAGGGGTATCAACTGAGGATTTCGCTAAACCTCGGGTGGGAAAATGTCATTCATTCCCCTTCAAATATTGAATATTAGTCATTTACTACCCTTGACACCTGATGCCGTCAAGATAAATTAACAGTTGAAGGGTAAACAACGAATTTTACAATAACAATTAGGGGTAAAACTGGAATGCTGTTCAATATTTTGTATCGATAATAATTAAAAGGAGAAGAAAAAAAGAAACCCAAATTCTCCCGTCTTCTCCACCGTTCATATCTTTTCCACCTAGCCTTTGTGCAATCCACGAAGGCACAAACACAACTTTGGAACAAAACCAGTAATTAAATTTGGTAGATATCAGATTCATCCTCTCTTACCTTTGCATCACCTAAGATATCTCTGGCAACAAGAAACAAAATATTTACTAGAAAACCCACTTCCACTCCCCGATTACCTCATCATTTGCCCCTCTTAAAGCCATAGGCGTTTGAGCAAACGCATCTAGTGTGCAAAAACTTTGATCAATGCATAATAAATCATTGAATTCGGTATATGTCTGGGCTTCTTGGAAGCTTTGATAAAGATTTTAAAGCGAGAGGAAGTGGTTTGGGCTCGGCTTAAGTGGTTGCGATGAAGATAGATTTGGGATTTGCAGCTGGTAAGATTCCGGCCAATTGGTGAAGGGTTGTGCAGGATAGACTTTTACGTTTTGGAACTGAGCTTGGTTCTGCCAAAGTGGATTGAATGCAGAAGACAAACAAGAGAGATTGGTGTATATGGTAGGGATGCAACGGGCCATCAGCGTTGCATCGTGAGCCATTGGTTCGCTAGCGCAAGGCAGGTGCTAAGATGGCGGCAAGGCTACGATGTATTCGCCACCACCATAGGTATCTTTTAAATTTGGAGTTCGTGAAGGGGAGAGGCGTGAGAAGAAACGGGAAAAGGAGTTTTTTTTTTTTTTCAATAAAAGCAATAGGGTATAATAGACATTTTATATTAATTTGACGGTGACCTAACGGATTTCGTTAATGAGTGTAGTTTTTAACAACTTCTCTAAAATTTGAGGATGGTTTCGTTCAATACCCCCAAAGTCAGTATTTAACCTTCACCTTCTAAAACTTCAGGGTGATTGGTGTAATCAACCTTCATTTTGAATGTTTCATAATTGTAACTTCTCCATTGAATCCATTTACCTGTTAGTCTGTTACATTAAATATTGGATCTGAAAATGTTGTTACTTATATGGAACATTATAGTAATTTAAGGAGAATGGATAACTATGTTATAATCAATGGTGTCACATATTGAGATTTTAAATTGGGATCTAATTTTGTAGACATAATATTACTATAAATAAATATATATTTATAATATTAAATCATACATTTATAAAATAAAATTATGATATTACAAAATAGACTTCTCAAAATACGAATATAACATAAGACTTAAAGATTGTAATTTATAGTTTAACAATGTAGCTATGTTTTTATGTTAAGCAACATCTTCGGATTACAATTGTGCAGATGGCAGCAAAATCACAACCAGAAGACAACTGCAATCAAGACAACCCAAACTCTTTGCTGCTAAACTTCTGCATCTCTTCCCTGAAAGGAGGCATGGCGGTCTGGCGCAAAGTGACTTGGACCTTAAATCCATCCTTCTTTCCTGCATTTGCTGAGGAATAAGGCAAGAAAAAACAAGGTTCAACACTGCCAAGAAGATGCCTTGAAAGCGGGAAAACAGTAACTGGACCTCCCCAACCAAAGTCCACACTCGAATGGCCTAAGTGCCTCCAATCTGTGAATCCACTCACTTCATTACCCGCTGTGATACCATCTCCAGAATGCAGCTCCTGAAAATCGATAAATGAGCGCACATACTCATCAGTGGTATTGCTTTTGCTCCTCTTAATCAGTTCAGCAGTCTTCCAAAGTGGTTGCTCTACTAGTTCTTTGGCTATAAGCTGCGCGTACATTGGAACACAGCCATTACCCCAATATCCAAAAGGTAGTGGAGGCTTCACTATTTTCCGAACATTGGTTGCATACGCGAACTTCACATTTTCATCTCCAGGAATCCCTGAACATCTGACCCTGTTATATCAACCATAAACTGAGTCAAAGGAGACAATTCACAAGTCACACAATTAATTAATTAATTAATAATAAAAATGTCTATATAAAGTCAAGTTTATTTAAGTGAATCACTAAAATGGACTTACTTGGCTCGCCATAAGAAGGCACCCAAAGCCTCAAACGTGGTAAAACTCAAGCCACAATTCTCGAGCAATGCACGTTTCAACTGATCCAAACACTCATCCGTCACATTAAAGCATTCTCTAACAACTGGTCCAACCGCTTGACGGTACGGTTTAAACCCTTTCTCCAACCTCAAAAACTCCGTAACAGAACCTTCAACCCTCGGTGGATCTCTTGGACCCAACAATCTTGCTCGGTCCCAACCCGGTTGAACCGACACCAGAGCCGCCCCACGCGCCAACTCAGCCACGGCATTGAAAAACTGGGTCGCACCAAGTCCATCACACAAAGCGTGATGTATAGCAGCACCCAGAGTGAACCCACCACACTTGAACACCGTGACCTGTAAAATACACGGATTAAGCAACCCCTCCTCCGAGTCCGGGTCGGGAACTAGTTGCTCCACAAAATCCGAATCCGGGTCGTCAAGATAGTTCAAAGATTCTAGTGTGTAGTCCACAGTGGCATTGACAAGAGGGAGACCCTGGCCCACCTGGCAAAACAGCGAGAGACGTTGGTTGCCGACGTGGCGAAGGGTGGCGGCAAGAGGGTAGTAATGAAGAAGAGCGGAGGAGAGAGCAGTGGCGATGACGAGGAAGGGCTGGGGGTCAGTGGGTTTGTTGTCATATACGCGGAGGTAACGGAAGGTGACACGGAGGTTGGGGTCATTGTCTAGGTGGGAAAGAGGGAGAACGTGGTCATCGTTAAAAGGTGGTGTGGAAGGAAGAATGGATTTTGTTTCTAAGATTTTCACTTGCATCTTTAAAGATGGATTCGCAACAATTGTGTTGTGTTCATGCTTTTGGTTTGAGCTTGAGATTTATGGAGGTGGATTAGTTGATTATTGTGACATGGCGTGAGACACGCTGGGAAGATCAATGAGGGTTGGTGAGAGAAGTTGGTGGGGGAGAAAAGTTAATTTGAAGATAATAAATTGCAAATAATCTGGTTAAGGAGAGTTTTTTGATATAATTATTTGAATTATCATGCTATTGTCTCTTATATGGCACCATTCCACCAACTAAATCCCATGGAATCGAAATCATAATGGGAATCGACCGATTCCTGGGATTTAGAATTAAAATCAGAATGGACTGGTTTCGGTACTTAAGAGTCTGGAATCGGAACCTAAAACATTGGTTTTAGTTTTGAGAAAATTACATCACCCTTCCTGTTCACAAAAATGATAAATACATTTCTAAAAAATTATAAGTGTATCCTTAAAAGTTTACAAAAATTATAGTTTAATCTCAGTTTCTACTTGGTCTTAGTTTCGAAATTATAGTTTAATCTCAGTTTCTACTTGGTCTTAGTTTCGATTTTGATTTTGATTCCTAAAATTGTGAAACAGGAATTAGAATCATACAGTATCAATTTTAATTTTTTAAAACTGAAATCGACCCTAGAGTTGGTTCCAAGTAGGAATTGGAACTCAGTACTTACCAATTTTGTTTCTATCCTATTTTTTTTTGTTCGCCCCAGCACCAACGGTAGTGACGTGTGTTGCCAAACTTGTACCTCCCTCAATAATTATCGTAGTTGCTGCCGCCGCCATGGTAGAACCACCTTGTAAATTTATCAATTGTCACCGACATCCTACTGAAACCAAATTGTTTTTCGAAGTTAGATTCGTTATTATTAAGGGAAGAAATGGAATGTTAACTATGTAATAGTAGCTTAATCTTCTTATTCCGATACAACAAATGTTCTTATAATTAGGTATGATTATGCCCGTAAATAAAACATTTAATGAGAAGTCAAATATTTAAGGAATATCAATTTTTTTTAAAACAAATATTTCTCATTTAATATAAAACTAGACATGGGGTCTACGTATTACGCGGGTATGTTTATTCAATGTTTTTGAAATAGATTGTAAACAAATTTATTTTAACAAAATAAATTAATCAGATTAAGACATAATAGGTGTTAAATTATACAAATTTTAAAATAAATATAAATTGTATATATATACAAAGTTGTATTAAGATAAAATTAATAATTGTACTTGTATAATTATTAATATAAATTATAGGTAGATGTTATTAAATAATTCATCCAACTTGAGAAGATCACCTCAATATTATATGGTCTAATTATATTTTTAGGATCATCACTTTGTACAATTGATATTATTTTTACAGACATATCTTTGATATTCGATGTCAGTATTTTGTAGTGAATCGTGTATGATATCTAATATCACCTGAATATTATCAAGATCAACTATTTAAACTCAAATTTTATATTGACATTCCACAATTTCTGTAACTTATATTCATTTTCAAGTTGTGTTGCGCGGGTATGTTTATTATATTTTTTTTTACATTATTATTGGTTCTTTTGTGTTTTAAATATATATTTTATATATTGAAGTTCATTTTATATTGAATTGATAATTAAAAAGTTAATAAATAAAATATCCACAAATTGAACTCAAAGTTTATATCATCATGGTTCTTCTCAAATATGTTACCATTTGACATTTGCTACCAAAGTTTAAAACTTTGTCAAGAAAAGCAGAAAAATTTGCAGGATAACCCACTAGGTATTATTGATAAGTCTATAAATTAATCAAAGAAAGAGAAACCTTATTGAAAAATGTGAACTTTTAAGTAAGAGACTTGCAGAGCCAAGGGAAAAAATTGATTTTGATTCTTAAGAAGAGAAAATGAATTATTTTTATTATTATTATTTAAAAAAAAAATTAAGAATATTGAGAAGAGAACTCACATAGAAAGCAACAATAACTCCAACAGTATAATCTAAAGGCAACTTAATTGAAGCATTGAAGAAACCATGAATATAAGGGTCCTCTGACGCAAATCCATTTGCTGCAATTAGAATTTACCACCACCTATAGCAAAAAAAGCATTTGATGATAGTATCCTAAAGAAAGACAATAATTGTAAAACTCACAAAACCCACAAATTAAACTATAAAATCAATCCAAAAATCAACAAAAAGAGATAGAACAAATATAATTAAAACTACATATCAATATTTGTTTTCCTTTGTCATCACTAAAATTGAATCTGTTTTATGTGTGTGATGATAAAATGAATGGTTCGGCAACAGATCTATAGTTATCCTAATTCATCATATAATATATCAAATTAAATCCCTATCTTTCTAGTTTCCAAAGATTCAAACCGCTCATCAATTGGATTTTTATTGAACAAGTTATGGCTAATTTACTACTGACTGTTTAGTGAAAATCGAGAAAATGGGGAAACCGAAATGTGTGTGATATAAAAGGAATGGTTTGACAGTGGGGCTACAGTTATCCAAATTAAGCGTATAATATATTAAATTAATGCTCTATCTATCTAGTTTCTAAAGGTTCAAACCTCTCATCAATTGGATTTTTATTAAGCAAGTTATGGTCAATTTACTACTGACTGTTTAGTGGAAACCAAAATATGTGTGATGATAAAAAGAATGGTTCGGCAGTGGAGCTAAAGTTATCCAAATTAAGTGTATAATATATCAAATTACCTATCTGTCTAGTTACTAAATATTCAAACCTCTCATCAATTGGATTTTTATTGAGAAAGTTATGGTCAATTTACTACTGATTGTTCAGTAGAAACCAAAATATGTGTGACGATAAAAGGAATTGTTTGACAGTGGGGCTACAGTTATCCAAATTAAGCGTATAATATTTTAAATTAAAGTCTTGTCTATCTAGTTTCTAAAGATTCAAACCTCTCATCAATTGGAGTTTTATTCAGCAAGTTATGGTCAATCTACTACTAATTATTTAGTAGAAACCTAAATGTGTATAATGATAAAATGAATTGTTTACTAAAGCTACATGGCATAGCATCAAACATCAGTTGATATTTGTTAAATAAATGAAATTAGTTATATTCAGCAACAAACTTTTTTTATGATATATGTATGTAACATAAAAGATATCATAAAAAAAGAGATAAAACAATTGCAATTAAAACTACATATCAATATTTGTTTTCCTTTAAGGATAATAATAATGGTTCGGCATATTATAAATGGTTTACTAAAGCTACATTGTTCAACAACAAACATCAGATGATATTTGTGATACAAATAAAAATTGTTATATTCAGCAACAATCTGTTTCCGATATATGTATGTAACATAAAAAAAAATCAACAAAAAGAGATAGAATAAATAAAATTAAAACTATATATCAATATTTGTTTTCCTTTGTCATCACTAAAATTCAATTGGTTTTATGTGTATGATGATAAAATGAATAGTTCAACCGTTGATCTATAGTTATCCAAATTCTTCGTATAATATATCAAATTAAAGCTATATCTTTCTAGGTTCCAAATATTCAAACCGCTCATCAATTAGATTTTTATTGAGAATGTTATGACCAATTTACTACTAATTATTCAGTGAAAAATAGGGAAAATTGAGAAATAGAGAAAACCAAAATGTGTGTGATGATAAAAGGAATGGTTCGAAAGTAGGGCTAAATTTATCCAAATTAAGTGTATAATATACCAAATTAAAGTCATATCTGTCTAGTTTATAAATATTCAAACCTCTCATCAATTGGAGTTATATTGAGCAAGTTATGGTCAACTTGCTACTGACTATTCAGTGGAAAAAGAAATGTATGATGATAAAAGGAATGGTTTGACAGTGGGGTTACAGTTATCCAAATTAAGCGTGTAATATACCAAATTAAAGTTTGTATGTATAGATTCTAAATATTTAAACCTCTCATCAATTGGAGTTTTATTCAGCAAGTTATGGTCAATTTACTATTGATTGTTCAGTAGAAACCAAAATGTGTGTGATGATAAAAGAAATAGTTCAGAAATGGGGCTACAGTTATCCAAATTAAGTGTATAATAATCAAATTAAATCCCTATCTATCTAGTTTTCAAAGATTTAAACCGCTCATCAATTGGATTTTTATTGAGCAAGTTATGGCTAATTTACTACTGACTGTTCAGTAGAAATCGAGAAACAGGAGAAACCGAAATGTGTGTTGATAAAAAGAATGGTTCGAAAGTGGGGCTAAAATTATCCAAATTAAGTGTATAATATATCAAATTAAAGCCCTATTTATCTAGTTTCTAAAGATTCAAACATCTCATCAATTTGAGTTTTATTGAGCAAGTTACGGTCAATTTACTACTGACTATTCAGTGGAAGCCAAAATGTGTGTAATGATGAAAGGAATTGTTCGGTAGTGGGGGTTACAGTTATCCAAATTAAGCGTATAATATATAAAATTAAAGCTCTATCTGTCTAGTTCTAAAGATTGAATCCTCTCATCAATTGGATTTTTATTGAGAAAGATATGGTCAATTTACTATTGATTGTTCAGCGGAAACCGAAATGCATGTGATGATGAAATGAATGGTTTACTTAACCCAAATTTAAGGGATTATCATATTAGGACTTCTTATTTCAAAAACACCTATTAATTGGAAAACGGAATCAACCAAAATTAATTCATTTAACATATATACTCGCACACCAATAGGACATAAACAATAAATCATTCATATAACAAATTAAAATACACGAATGTTTTTATAGAAAACATATTCAACACAATTGAACTGTTTCTACTAATATAAATATGACACATACTCATAGTTCGGTTGACAATATGATCATCCTCGATTTGATCTAAGTAAAGTACATGAACATTTCCTTGAAAACAAACATAACAAAATCTAATCGATCTTCATGTTAAGATTTGTTAAGGAACAATTATTCATTCGTATAACAACTGTTACCTGAAAACGAAATCAACAAAAGTTCATTAATCTTCATATTAAAATTGTTAAATAATACACTTACCGTTCTGCAAGACTAACACAATTAACCATTCGAATAGATTGACCGAACAA